CCCCAAAGCCCCAGTAGATAGCTGTATGTCATAGTTGCACATCCTTCTAGTTGCTGTATGTGGGACACGGCCACAGCACGGCCGGAGAAGTGGTGCATGGGTTCGCGCCTGGGATCCTAAACCCGGTTGGCCAGTAGTGGAGTGCGCGCACTTAACCGCTAAGCCACGGGGCCAGCCCAACAGTATCAAATTTATAAATTATTTGAATCAAGGAAGTATGGCTAACTGTACATCCAGTGACAAAACTATGATTCCAAAGTTTAACAGGCTAAAATGATGAGATTAAAACAATGAGATGAAAGTAGAAAATCAAAGAAAAATCTTGCCAGCAGTAAGAATAAAAGAATAAAAATCCTAGCTTATCAACAGTCTCTATGAATAAGACATAGTACTTTATTTCTCCAGAACCAGCTTAGTATGAGTCATAACTAGGATTGGCTACCCTTTCTCCTCTTCCAAAACTTCTGCAATTTAAGCTAAGCTACGAGTGTTCAAAACACAGGAGGATACAGAGGCACTGGCTTGGTAGTCTACATCTGGAAATCTATGTTTAGTTCTGGTTACCACGTTTAAAAGGTAGTGGTTATCCTTTTAGTCCTAGCTAACATATTTAAAAACATATTAGAGACATTTGTAGACAAAAAGCAATTTAAACATGGTAACTCTCCTGGGAACTGTGTCACATGAAGAAATTGAAAATACTTTTAGTCTAGAAATGTAAGGTGTGTGCATTTGTGTTTCTGTGCATGCTTTTTGGAGAGGAAGTAAAGGGCGGCCATGGCTATGAATATTTGCAGGACTATCTATTGGAAAACAACTTTTTTAACTTTTGCTTCTTTTTGCTCCCTCTTATTATTTTTAAATAGATGTTTAACAAAGAAATATTTAGGATTATTCTTCACAACCATAGTTTTTATAATCAGGAAAAGACAGAAATGACAAGGAGAGATATATAAGCTTAATCAACACCCAACAAAACATTCTAATAGCGTCCGTGTTTCTCTAGGTTTATTCATCTCTGTGTGTTCTGTGTCAAGTATATTGGCAGGGAAACAGTACATATTCAATAAATACTGGTTAAGTGAATGAATAGTGAAAGAATGAATGAGTAATCATGGAGTGAATGACTTGTGAGGTCCCAGCCACTAGAAATGCCCAAGTCAAGGCTGGATGACTACCTGGATAACTATCATAGAAAGGATTTCTGAGAGAAGTTGATGGACCTAGATGACCTCTAAGATGCCCTTTATTTTTTTTTCTTTTCTTTTTTTTCTTTTTTTTTTTTATTAGGAAGATCAGCCCTGAGCTAACATCTGTGCTAATCCTCCTCTTTTTGCGGAGGAAGACCGGCTCTGAGCTAACATCTATTGCCAATCCTCCTCCTTTTGTTCCCCAAAGCCCCAGTAGATAGTTGTACGTCATAGTTGCACACCCTTCTACTTGCTGTATGTGGGACGCGGCCTCAGCATGGCGGGAGAAGCGGTGAGTCGCTGCGCGCCGGGATCCGAACCCCGGCCGCCAGCAGCGGAGCGTGCGCACTTAACTGCTAAGCCACAGGGCTGGCCCAAAGCATGAAATTTTGATCTGGCATCTCGGGTGGAAGCAGTCTACATCCATGTCAGCTACTTCTCTTTCTTGTCAATTTGATTCAGAGGTTTCCAGCGTCTGCACAAGACCAGATGTAAGGTGGAGCCTTCTTTAGCTGTGCGATGTATACCTAACGCTCAATGCCTTCTAGTTTTGCAACAGTGTCAGTGGTCAGGAGCACTTGGGAAGGTCCCTTCCAATGGGGCTTGAGGGCTGTCTTCCTCTGATGACATTTCCAGAATACCCTAGTCACCAGGCTCCAGACTGTGACCAACAGGATCCTTTGAATTGGATCTGGGAAAGCTTCTTTAACCTGTTGATGCTAGGCTTTAGCATAAGACATTAAAGATTTATAGTATCTGGTCATACTATAAATGAGATAGTGAGATAACAAGGGATCAACAGAAAGTTGTATACTAATAGGCATTAGTCTCCCAGTGACTATCTCATGTGGGGTGAGATTATGTTTCCCAAAGGGGGTACTGAGAACAGTCAGCAAGATCAGAGGCAGTACCTTAGGCCAAGGGAGTCCAGTAGTTTCAGCAAGTTTTTTTTTTTTAGAGATTTTGAGAGTTTGAGGATCCCATTAGTTCTTTCAACCTTGCCTGATGATTGAGGGTGATAAGAAAAGTGATAATTCCAAGAAATTTGTAAAGTTTTCATTAAAGCTCATATGATTTGCCCAGTTAAGTGGGTGCCTTGATGACTGGAGATTGTGGAGGAGGTATATGCTAACATGTTAGAATTCTAACATGTTTTCTAAAAGTTTCTTTGCCACTGTGAGAGCATCAGGCTTGTGGCATCCACCTGGAAAACATACATACAATAACGTGAACATATTAGTAACCCATACTAGGTGGCAGTTGAATGAAGTCTAGTTGCAGGTGCTCAAAGGTTCCAGAGTGAAGAGGTTTGAGGCCTCTGGGAACAAAAGTAATTTTTCCTGGATTATGAACCTGACAGGTCAGACACTGAAAACAGGTAAACTGTTTTTACAATTTTATAGAAGTCTCCCCACCAATGTTTATTCATAGCTTGAGTCGTCTTAAATGCACCACGGTGGGTGAAGGAATGCAAAAAACAAAAAATTGGGTTTGCCAGGGATCCAGGAAGAGCCAAGTGGCTCTCTTGGGATTCCCATAGCCTTGACTGTTTATTTCATTTACAACCATTGTTTGCCCATGTTAATTTCCCTGAGTCAGGAGCAGGCTGTTGGCAAGGACATCAGGATGGCACAAGTCTGGCAATAAGGGGTCATTTTCTGCAGAAGCAGAGTGGACTTCATCCGTATATGCTGCAACCTTTATAGATTCTATTGCTGCTGCTTTTGCATGAAAGTCAGCTAAGGCATTTTCCTGATACTCGGATTCAGTCTTTTTAGTGTGAGCCTCAATTTTAATGATAGCAATTTCAGAAGGTGAGAGAACAGCAGTAAGAAGGTTGTTAACTTGTTGTCCATTTCTGATTGGCGTCCCAGTGGACGTAAGAAAACCCCTTTTGTTTCTATAACATCGCCAAATCATGGATGACCCCAAAGTCATACCAGCTATCAGTATAAATATTAACAATTTGTCCTTCTTATAACTGACATGCTCTGGCAAAGGCATGGAGTTCTGCTTGTTGGGCTGATTTAGCCTGTGGGAGATTTCCCTTTCCAAGTAGTTCATATTGGTTAGTACCAGCATAACCAGCTGGAAATTCCTTTTTTCAGTTTTATAGTATGACCCATGAACAAACAAAATTAGATCAGGATTAGTTAAGGGGGTGCCTCATAAATCAGGATGCGGTGTCACAGAATGGGACCTTTCTGCCTCACAGTTGTGGGGCTGCCGTTGTAGGCAGAGGTAGTAACACAGCAGGATTAAGAATGCGGCAACATTTAAGATGTAGATTAGGTGGTGAAAGCAGAAGGATCTCATAGGAGGTTAGCCTGCTGGCAGAGAAACGTTGAGTGAATTCAGAGTTAAGAAGACTTGGGACAGCATGTGAGTTTGTAAATAAATATCATTTCTTATGGTTAAATCCACTAAGGCTTCTACTGACTGTGCAGCTGCAACTACAGCCTTAAGGCAGTTGGGATAGGCAGAGCAACTGAACCAAGCTGTATGCTGTAATAGGTAACAGGCCCATGTTTATTACCGTGTTCTTGTGTGAGCACTCCCAGGGCTTGGTTATCTCTTTCATGCACAAATAAGGTGAAAGGTTTTGAATAGTTAGGTAGCTCTAGGGCAGGCAATTCTTACAGCACTTGTTTTAATCTTATAACGAACTGCTTATGTTTATCTTTCCGAGGAAAGGTTTCAAGGACTGAAATTTTAGTAAGTTCATAGAGTGGGGAAGCCAATAGAGAAAAGTTAGGAATCCGTAGCCTACATTAGCCAGCCAGGCCCGGGAATCCACGAAGTTGTCGCTTAGCTGTGGGCCTAGAGAATTCTCGGATTAGCTTAATTCTTTTTTGGAAACAGCTGGATTCCTTCAGTGCTTAGATTATGACCTAGGTAATGAACAGTGTCTAGAGATAATTGTAGTTTTTCCTTAGAGACTTTATGTCCTTTTTCAGCTAACTTTTGCAGCAAATAAATGGAATCTTTTATGAATGCCTTTTTGGTAACTGGGCACAGAAAGAGGTTGTCCACATATTGCAAAAGGTTCGATTTCCCAGGGAACTGAAGCATGCTTAAATCTTGGTGGAGTTCTTGGGAGAAATACGAAGGGGCCTCAGTGAACCCTTGAGGCATGATCTTCCATGTGTATTGTTGATTGTTCCAAGTAAAGGCAAATAGATATTGGCTGCTGGGGTCTATGGGGATGCTGAAGAAGGCTGGTTAAAGGTCTGCAACCGTGAACCATTTGGAGTTTGGTGCAACTTGTGACAAAATGGTGTTCTGGTTTGGAACAAGTAGTAAGGGGGGAATAACTATCTAGTTAATAGCTCTCAAGACCTGGACAAATTGCCATCCTCGCCCATTAGGTTTCCAGACTGGCAAGATTGGCGTCTTACAGGGGCTGGTACTGGGAACACTTAACCCCTGGGTGATTGGGTCTTCTTCTGTTGGTGTGAGGCCTTGTGTGGCCTCAGGCTTTAGTGGATATTGAGGCAATTTAGGAAGAGGTTTAGTTAGGTCTATCTGAATTTTTATAGGTTCTGACTTTTTATTCTACCAGTGTCAGTATAAGAAATAGCCCACAGATTTTTGGGCACCTTGGCTAAATTAGGGATCTTTTGCTAGAATTCCTCCTCTTCTATATCAAGAACAGATTTTAAGGAATGTAAAAGATCAGGTTCAGGTCGGTAAGGAAATTCTAAGGTGAGGTCTCCATTGGAGGCAAAATGTATTAGCCCTTTTAGTTTAGAAAGGAGATCTCTACCTAATAGATTGACAGGAGCTGTATCACACAGCAAAAGGGAATGTTTTTCAGTGAAAGGTCCCAGAGTCGTGTGTACTGGTTGAGATAGAAACTCTCTTTGAATTTTATTAGATATCCCCACTGTGGAAACTTCTTTTTCACTGCAAGAGATTTTGTCTTAGGAGAGTGGGGTTTAAAGCAGAGAGTGTAGCTCCAGTATCTATCAGAATTTGCCAAGGTTTCCTGTTAGTTTTAATTTTAGTTTTCCCTTGGCTGTTTAAGGGGATTACGGTGGCAGTTTACTGGAGAATCCCTCAGAGTCCTGTCAAGTCTGGGAGGTGCCCACATGGGGCCCCTTTGGGGGTATCCTCTGTGGGTAGATATAATGGCGTTTGAGTTGATGTTGAAGAATTTGCTAGGATCTTTGAGGACAATCATTTTCCAGTGTCCCAGTTGATTACAATTGAGACATCAATCCCTGGGCTGGCATTTTGATGATGGGCCCCTAGGAGGGTGCAATATGGGAGGCTCCAGTGTCATTTTGGGTCTCTGGCCTTGGAGCTGTTGCAGCTGTAAGGACAATAGCTTGGCGGACTTTTGTTTATGGTCTTGTTCCAAAGTCCTTTCAAAACGCTCAGCTATGGTTACAAGTTCAGTCAGATCAGTGGCCTCCCATCCTATTTTCTGTCTTTTTATCAGTTCACTAATCTCAGGAGATAATCCATTTACAAATAGGGCAGCCAGAGCAGGTTGGGTAACCTCATTTATTGTATGGAACTCGGAATGCTGTAGGAAGAGAGCTTCCAGATGGGCTTTAAGTTTGCCACAGATTCATCTTTCTTTTGTTTGGATCTTTGAATAGACCGATCAGTATGGGCAGAGAAAACTCTAGGAATGGCTTTTAAAAGATTAGTCACTATTTTGCCAGCTTTTCCTGGTCCATGAGGGGACCATGTTGAAGATCGAGGACCTCAAATATCATCCTCATGGTTACGCTTCACTGCTTTCCACATCCATTTTGGGCTTCACCAGGTCCTACCAGCATGTTCACAAGCCGATAAAAATCTGGCAGTTCTGGGGTCATAGTCCCTGATAATGACTCTAAATTTTTCAGGAAACTTTTAGGGATCCTCTCTGGGTTTAGGAAATTCTTTAACTATGGTCCTTTGTTCGTCTTTGACCAAGGAGTGACAGATACCCGAGGAAGATCTCCTGTCACTTCAGGTGGTTTTATTTTAAAACGTAACTGTTTAGTAGTATTTTCAGAGTGGAAAGGCAATTCAGACAGAGAATTAGTAGAATGTGAGTACTCAGGTAGAGGAGGATAGAGGGGAGCAGTAGGAGTCGTGTTAGTCTTATTGTCTTTTAGGTACCTCTTGTGTCTTTAATTTTTCATTTGTCTTTGTAATGAATTTTTTAATGAAGCTATTTTGGAATCCTGAAGCCTTTTGGGAACTTCTGCATACCAGTTAGAACAGGTATCCCATTCTGTTTGTTTGATTTGGGAAACATTGCTTTCAAGAGCACTTCTTAAATAAATGATATTCTTTAATTGGAACATTCCCCATAATGGCCATCATAATTCTAGGTTGACTTTAGTAAGATTTTGCCATTTTTGTAGATATTTGTAGCTTCTAGGACCATAGTTCTTAGACATAAAATGAGGAGGTGTGCCGGAAGGTGGAGAGCTCAACTCTTTGGAATTTAAGTATCCCATTTCTTTTACATAAGCCTTTGGGTCTCTCAGAGCCAAACTAATACAAGGGATGTGCTGCTGGGTTGGGATTGCGTGGTGTTTTACAGTACACCTTGCTGCATGGAAATTTTCTTGGGGTTGGCAGGTGACCTAGTGTCAATCTAACCGGTTCTATGACCAAGTTATCCTAACATAGGAGTCTCAGAGCTAGGTGACGGGAGCTCTAACAGCTTTTAAGTGCTCAACCCATGCCCACCAATTTTGTGGCTTTTGGTTTATGAGATTCCCATTAACAATAGCCTTTGTCTACACAAAATTTTATTTGCCTGAGGCCTCACGCTGGACCCAATCCAGCTTAAGTCAGACTCAGCCTGACCCCGGACCCAGTCTGACACTAAGTCAGACCCAGTCCGATGCTGGCTGGTAACAACCAGCAGTTCCCAACTGGAATCTGGGGATTGGGGAAAGGACTGAACCAGCAGACTCCAAAGAATGGGGACTGTGGACTGGGATTCCAAACATTGGGAACTGCAGAGTGAACCACCAGTAGATCCCAGAGGGGGATTCCAAACCAATGGGGAACTGTAGAAAGCCAACTAGATCAGGAGCTTCAATGAAAAGAGAATGGAGCACAGAACCGAGAGGAACTTACTCACAACCTTTAGAAATGGCGAGAAAAACAGAGAGCGCAAAGGGTTCACGGGTACCAGCACCTGTGCTTCTTGTCCCTGAAGCCATCAGAAGTGTCATTTAGATCTCGTTGCTACCACCAAATCTGTTAAAAAGCAAAATCCAACTGAGTAAAATTTAAAGATCTTATTGTCTTTATTCAATAATTCATGAATCAGGCAGCACACCATCCAGCAAATAGATAGGAGCTCCGGAGAGCTGTATGAAACGAAAGACTGTTATAGGCAGAAGGGGGCAGGACCAGGAAGTTGCTAGAAAAGAGTGGATTGTTTCAGGCAAGGTCACCTTCCTTTGGGGAACAGCAGGGGTCTGTCAGGCAGATGAGCTCACTAGTGCTGACCAGGAAATTCCAGACTTGATGGGTTGAGATTACGTTCCCGGGAGAGGCTGAAACTGCAGCTAGGTCACTTATTAAATCTCAGTTTGGTGATGATGTGGGTTTAGCACAAGTGACTCCATTTTGGGCCCGCTGTCTCTTTTTTAACATTGATAAGCAAAGGTCTCCACAAAACTTCTTCTCTATATAAATAAGTTATAACTATACGGAAAACAAAATTGCTTGTTGATGGTGAAAGAGAATGCAAAATTCGACAGACAACGGTGTCAAAATTCATATTCTGAAGAGAAATCCAGATTGTTTCTTGCCCAAAACAAAAATAAAACAGAATAAAAATTTGATAAACTTCCTCAGGCAACTTTACATGTGGAATTTCTTTCAAGTCAAGTGTTCAGGTTTCTTTTTTTAAAGTAGAATCTTTCTTTGCTTTTTTTCAATGCATTCTTTTCTATTTTAACCTAGTATTTTGGCTCTTCAATCCCGTGGACTATGAAAGAGAGCGGAGGCCCAGAATTTATCAAGTGGTTCAAGAAGCTGCTCCTTTTTGTTCTTTTCTAAACAGCTGAGGATTGTGATTCAATCTAACTAATAAAAACACAACACCCCACCAAATTAAAGCATAAATGTCCCTTTGCTGCAGTTTTGTTTATATTGTACATACTAATTATCTACAAAGCGCCATATATTGAAAGTCCTTTAGGGATAAAACCCAATTTAACTTGAGTTGTTAGATACAAAGACAACCCAGGATGCTCTGGGTGTTGGTTGCCCAGAGAAAAATGGTGACTTTCGCTCCCACCACAGAGGCACTACCTCCCTAGGTGAGGCATTCGGTGGGAACCGACCGTACCTGGGCCACTGGTGTGCACTAGTAAGAGAAAGGGAGGCCTTTTGGCACAACGCCTTTGGGTGGGAGAACTGCCATTCCCTGCGGGCTTGACAGTCTTCAGACAGGGAACAATAGTGATTGTAGCTCAAAGTGCAAGGCAACATGCCCCTAGGGAGCCCTTGCCAGGGAAAAGTGCCTCCCACTCCTGACAAGGGGAGAGAGCATACAGCTGTCTTTGTTCCTTAATCTTTTAAGCTTACGGGGGCACCCCCCTGTTGGGGGCTGATCTTTGGGTAGGAATGTGTGGAAGGTTGCACAGAAGGAAGAGGGCAGAAGCACTGGCTGTTGGAGCGATGCAGAAACACAGATGATGAGAGGGGATTTTGAAGGCCAAGGCTGGAGCTGGATTGTCTCATTTTACATTATTGTTTCTTACTACAAATCCTCAGATATCACAGAAAAACAAATTTCAAAGGAAGGACTTTTGCAAAAAAAAAAGGATGTTTTTTCCTACATCCTGATCTTTGAAGTTTGACAAAGAGGGAGGTGGCTCTTGATCAAGTTGGGATCAAATAGTGCCTTGAAGTCATCAAGCTGGGAGCCGGTACAAGACTTTGAAGGACAAAAATTTTGAGCAGATGGACTGGGCAGGATTTTACCGATTTGAACTGGACCCTGGAGTGTGACTAGGATTTCAGCAGGCAGGAAACAAAAGCACTGAGATTGCTTCGGCGTATGTCAGAATTCCCGGGATTCCTGGCAAGAGGGAAGGGTAGCCACCTGGAAGGCATCAGGGATTAAGCTTTTAGGGGAAAGTAAAGAGTATCCTCACCTCTGTTAGGGACCTGCATCTCATGAGCAGTAACATGGTCATGATTACGGTGGGATTCAGGACCTGACTGACTGAGTAAGGGAAGGAATGGTGGATGTGCACCAAGTGGGGTAAGACAGAGTGCTGACAGGATTTGAGATCCTGGGTCATTCCTTCCTGAGACCCAGCATCATTTCTTTCCTTGGGCTCCATGAAACACTCGACTTCCTTGAACAGCTTCCTCTTTTTGCTTTGGCTGGTTTGCGTTGGATCTATCACTCCACCCAGAAGAATCCTGACTAATCCCGTATCATTGTTTTCTCTCATTAATCAACAATTAAATCTACTTGTGATGCCTTTTCATTGCTTTTTTCCCCTTTAATTTCAAATATATTAAACCGGCTAGAAAATCATAAGGATCACTATATGCCTTGGGCGATGGGAATGCATACTGACAAATAGGCCCAGTAGGGAAGGGTGGGCAGTACATAGGGGAGCTCTTAGCTTTGGGGTTCACACAGAGGCAGGAGTGCTTTCTGGAAAATGTGCTTGCGTAGAGGGCTCCATATTTGGGAAATGTCCTGAGACTCTAACAATGCATATTTAGTTGCATTAAGAACTATCCTGTCTTCAAAACTGCTGTACAGTACACTTCTCCCTCCCCATCCCCCAGGGATTCTCAACAAAGCTGTGTCTCAAGGACAATTGAGACAAAGGTCTATTCATCAATTTAGTGGAGAAGTAGTCTAGGCGTTTGCCTGAGTAAAGAAATAATTGTGTGAATTTTTAACATTTCAAACCTGTTTGTGTTGCCATGTGGACACAATCTCATTGGTGTCCCTTAGTTCTCAAACTTGAAAAATTTAAGAACATGTTTTTACATCTTCATCTCTCTGCTATTGTATATTTCAACATCTGTCATCTTCAACCTGATCCCATTTTATAGCAGTGAATTTTTTTTTCCTTTATTGTGAAATTTTTGTTGTTCATCATTGTTTGTCAGTCACCATATAAATGCATCCCTTCACCCCTGAGCCCACCCTTGACCCCCCTTGCCCCTAGTAACCACCAAACAGTTCTCTCTGTCCGTGCATTGGTTTATCTTCCACTTATGAGTAAAATCATCTGGTGTTTGTCTTTCTTTTTCTGGCTTATTTCGCTTAACATAATACCCTCCAGGTCCATCCATGTTGTTGCAGAGGGGATGATTTTGTCTTTTTTTATGGCTGAGTAGTATTCTATTGTATATATATATACCACATCTTTTTTTTTTTTAATAAAGTGTTTATTTCTGTTTGTGTGTGTGTGTGAGGAAGATCAGCCCTGAGCCAACATCTGCCAATCCTCCTCTTTTTGCTAAGGAAGACTGGCCCTGGGCTAACATCTATGCTCATCTTTCTCCACTTTACATGGGACACCGCCACAGCATGGCTTGACAAGCAGTGCGTCGGTGCGTACCCGGGTTCCGAACCAGCGAACCCCGGGCTGCCACAGCAGAGTGTGCGTACTTAACTGCTTGCACCACCAGGCCGGCCCCTATACCACATCTTCTTTATCCACTCATCAGTTGAAGGACACTTGGGTTGCTTCCATGTCTTGGCTACAGTGAATAATGCTGCAACAAACATAGGGATGCATAAGCCTCTTTGGATTCTTGATTTCAGGTTCGATGGGTAGATACCCAGTATTGGGATAGCTGGATCATAAAGTATTTCTATTTTTAATTTGTTGAGGAATCGCCATACTGATTTCCATGGAGGCTGTGCCAGTTTGCATTCCCACCAGTGGTGAATTAGAATTCCCATTTCTCCACAGCCTCTCCAGCATTTGTTGCTTTTTGTCTTGGTGATTATAGCCATTCTAATGGGTGTAAGATGATATCTTAGTGTGGTTTTGATTTGCATTTCCCTGATGATTAGTGATGTTGAGCATCTTTTCATGTGCCTATTGGCCATCTGTATATCTTCTTTGGGGAAGTGTCTGTTCATCTCCTCTGCCCATTTTTTGATTGGGCTGTTTTTCTTTGTCATTCAGTTGTGTGAGTTCTTTATATATTATGGAGATTAGTCCCTTGTTGGATATATGGTTTGCAAATATTTTTTCCCAGCTGGTGGGTTGTCTATTCATTTTGATTCTGGTTTCATTTGCCTTGTAGAAGCTCTTTAACCTACAGCAGTGAATTTTTAAAAATTCTTAAGTGATCATAATATTTTTCTCTTGTTTGTTCTCTAAGATTTCATTATTTATCAAGGCCACACTCTTGTTCCCTATTCCTCAGTTGCTGTATTTCCCAGGAACTTGATTATTCATGTGCTTTTATTTCCTGCTGAAAGAAAGCAGAATATGGCACCCCAATGTATGCCATTTTGGAATATTGATTATTTTGAATTAAAGTTACTTAAGAAACAGCGGGTGCAAGAAGGACACTCTGGCCCTACTTTAACCCCCTAAGAGCAGGAAATAAATCTCCATGTGAAAGATACTCTCCCCGTACCAGGAGGATAGAAGGCATCCTAATCACCAGAAATAGGGAATTTAGGGCCAAGAAAGCTGTACAAACAAACCTTGTTACTTCTTCACTAATTTACTACCCCAAGCCCAAACTTCTTTATCTTGTCAAGTTTTCACAAATTTATTCTTTATCTAAAAGATATAAGAACTGTCTGCTTTGGTTACTTCTTTGAGTCTCAGATTTTTGTGGGGCTCTCGTATTTATGAAATTAAATTTGTTTTTCTCCTGTTACTCTGTCTTATGTCAATTTAATTATTAGACCAGCCAATGAACCGAGAAGGGAAGAAGGGCAAAGTTTTCAACCCTTCCACTGCTGCCTTCTCTTAACCTCAGTGACATGCTTTTGTGAATATGCTTTATCAAGAATGCAACTCACAATGCAAAGATACAACTCCAAAGTTGCTATGTAAAACCACCAAAGGTTTAGCCCAATCTTTTTCCCAGGCCAATGGTCAAAGCAGGATCATTACTTAAACATGACCAAACATTACCCTGCACTTTCTCTGAAAGACAATAAATAAATGAAAGGAATATGCAGCTTCAAATCACCCAGAAGCATTTGCTTGAGATCTTGATGACCCAGCTGCTTGATTCAGGTCTAATCACCAGATCCCACACCTCTGCATTACTTCTGAGTTTGTGATCCATAAATGTACTTCTCTATCTCTTCTAAGCAGAAGATGTCCAGCTGAGGTTGTTGTCATCCATGGTTCCAGGTACCAGACTAGCCTTTCCATACTCAATAGGTGTACAATATCAGCTTTGTTCAGGGTTTTGTTTCAGGAACTGTCACCTTTGAGGCCTTGTGTGCCCAGACTGCATTTGCCTAAATGAGCTATCCTTGCAAAATAGACTCTTAGCCTTAGAGGTTTAGTTGAACCTCTCCCGGGACACTCAATATACAGATCTGGTTTTCTGCAGTGACTTCCCAGTCATCAGCTTTACATCATGAATCCTCATCGAGATTTTTTTCCTTTTGCTTCTTGTGGCAGCCTCCCTAGCTTTTCTATGTGATTGGTGAGTGGTTTTCAATCACTATATTCCTTATATGTTCATTGCTCCGTATATGCTGGGTTGTCTCCCCAGATACACTCTAAATTGCCTGTGGGAAAGAATTCTGTATGTGTTCTTTATATCTTTCTATCACATCTGGCACAATGTTCTGTACATTTAATGACAACTTCAGAGGACACATCTTTCCAGAGGAAGAAGATATGGGATAGACAAAGGAATAAAGGAAAATGTTCTCATTGTTAAAAACCAGAGATAGCTAGAAAGGGAAATTGTCAAAGGCATTTAATGTTTAAACCCACTTTAATTTCTATGTGAATATTGATGGCAAAAGTCCCCCTTTCGCTATTCACTGTGGCAGGAAACTCAGTTTCATCCTTGAATAAGAATTGAATCATTCTTATTCAACATGTGTTCTTTTCTACACATACATCTTGGTAGCATGGTATGGGGGCATATACTGGATAGTCTCTCAATATATCTCACACCTATATTATTTTTAATAAATGCAATGTGGATGTAGAAAGTACTTTCTACTATCATGAAATAAAAGGTAAGTATTAAATTCCTAATTGTCATTAAATTCAATTTGATATTTGTTGCAATAAGGATTTCTCATAACTATAGCTATATATAATATATAACTATAGCTAATACAATAACTCTTTACTTTTACCTATGTATAAAGCTTTGCCTATGTTTTCAAATTTCACATGATAAAAATGCAAAGTGTTGGAAAAATGGTGTCATTTCTAAAATCTGTACAGTAAATTGGAGATGATTGAAGTTGACCTCTTACATGTAATATCAAAAGCAGGTAAGAGCATTGACACATTTCTCACAAAGATGTAGCAAAAAACAGGGCTGGCTTCCTCTTCATCTCAATTTTAAAGTACCAGGCCCTGGACCTATTCAGAATCCAGCTCCATGCTCCGGATCAGAGTCAGTGATTTGTCACTGATATGGTGTAAAGTTCATCACTATTTATCCAGGGTGTTTGACACATCCACCACATCCCAGAAAGCACTGGCAGAAATCAAAGATCATTTGGAACAACCTGGAAGAAAGCTAAAGACTTGGATATAATTTTCAAACTGAGAAAACTTCCTCTTTATCAAACATTCCAAGTTCTCATATTATTATTTATTAACACAATCAGATAAAGATCTTTTCACCTATTTAAGTTCACTCAACTTTCCATTTTTTTAAGCTCAGAGAATGTCTATTTCTATGATGTGTATGGATATCAAGGGCACATACTGTAGACACGCAAGGAAAACAACTAAGAAGTGGAAATTATGGAGCTGAGGATATCACTGAATTAATGTTGATGAAATAACTTCTTTTTATTTTTGCTTTTCCAACACTCAGAAAATAAACAGTGGTTCTAGCCCCAGGCCCAGAGGTGAGGGAAGGAACTCCATCAGACAGCTCTACCAGGAAGTTTATCTGCAAATAGGAAGGTTATTTTGCTAACATTTACAGATACCAGAGCACTTTCTTTGGCTGTATAATCTGGGTTTGTAGATGGACTGGCTAGAGCTAAACACCTTTTTTGCTCACTCTGCATTGTCATCTAAGATACAGTACATGGTTCTGAACATAGTTTTGTCTGTGACTCCAACAAGGATCCAACTCATGACTTTGACCACCTGGGCATAAGAGTCTAGAGCTGTGCTATCCTTTACTGTAGTCACTCACCACTAACCACGTGTGGTTATTTGCACTTCAATTAAACAAAATTAAAACTTCAGTTTCCAACATCTACATTTCAAGTGTTCCGTAGTCACCTGTGATTAGGGGGTAGTGGCTCCCGTGCTGGACAATGCAGAGACAGAAGATTTCCGTTGTCACAGGAGGTTCTATCCGACTGTGCTAGCGAGATCCTTGGTACCAGCAGGAGTTGGGTCACCTGGGAGCTTGTTAGAAATACAGAAGCTCAGTTATCCCCAGTTCTACTGAGTCATAATCTGCACTTTACTAAGACCCGCAAGTGATTTATTCCCCATTCAAGTTCGAGATGCACTGGTCTAGACTGTGGAGGAAACACACCCCCAGGTTTAGAGGGAGAGAATTGTAACCAGGTTGGGCTCAACTGGTGCACAGTCACTTCCCGCAGGAATATGTCTTTACTACGGCTTCTTAAAACTAGGAAAAACATAAGGTGCTTCCAGCCATAATTTAACAATCACTGTCTGTACCAGTTGCTGGTGTTGATCCATGCCTTCCCCTTAACCCTCTCATAAAAATAGCTAAACATTTATTAAGCCCTAACTCTGAACCATGCATTGCTCTAGGTGCTTCTTTGTTTTGATTCATTAATCCACACAAGCAACCCAATAGGTGGCTTCTGTCATTAACCTAATTTTACAAATGACGATTCTATGACATGAAGAATGGAAGTAAGCCAAGGTCACCACGGCTGAGCCCAGGTTCAACTCAGCAGAACCCACACAAGAGGATCTCTGCAGGCTGCTGGGGGTCCCTGGAAAACTACAATTTTGGGGGTTTCTCTGAGCTCCAAAGCCAATAGTTTGGAAAGAATTACTTGTTTGTCCTGTGGTCCTCCTAGTTCCACCTACCTCCCAAAGAGGCTCCACAGTTCAGACTTGCTGTAACCTACTTTGAGGGGATGGCCTGGCAGAGCACCACGTTTCCTACGCATTTGTCTAGTTTAGCTCATCCTGTTGCCCAACTCTCTTTTCCCAAATCACCAGGAAGAACCCAAGAAACGGAAAGAGCTGCAGTTAAACTCATGCCAAAATCCTAATGCAACCTGTCCACCAGGGGAATGCAGGCCCTGCCTAGAACAGCAACTAAAGAATCAGCTGTTTCCTGCCCAACCTAAGTGTGAGTCAGCTCTTTCCCTGACCCAGCTAAGGCGGGGCTCCTCCAATCCCTTATGAAACGCTTCCTCCCCAAAATTCTCCTGCCGGCCTGTTAGGTCTGGAGAGCCAACCATTTCAGTGTCTTCTTTGAGTCTCATGAATTAAAAATGACTGCACTTAAAGGCCCAAAGTGCCCACTAACAAACCTGAAATGAACTCTGTTGGCCTTTGGCAGACACCAAACTACCCATGTGCATTAAGAGTAATGAAAGGATTGGGGCTTGCCAGGGTCTTGCCTCTCAAATGGCTAAAGACGCATGTGAGTGAAGCCAGCTGTGTCAGCATCAGCCTTGTTTGGTTATTCAAAATGTCAAATTTTGTGACCCATTGCTCGGAACCAACACGACATACCACCAACGACACCTTTTTTTGTATGTGAGGAAGATTGGCCCTGAGCTAACATCTGTGCCCGTCTTCCTCTATTTTGCTTGAGGAAGATGGCCCCTGAGCTAACATCTGTGCCCGTCTTCCTCTATTTTGTATGTGGGACACCGCCACAGCATGGCTTGATGAATGGTGTGTAGGTTCACACCCGGGATCCGAACCCACGAAACCCAGGCCACTGAAGCGGATCATGAGAACTTAACCACTGTGCCACCAGGTTGGCCCCCAAGGACACCTTTTAGTTCCTCCTCTCCAGTACTCTACTTTGCTTGTTTTAAGTAGTAGATGCTAAATTCTGGAAGGACAGAGATTGTGTCTTTGTACTCCTATGGGTGTCTAGCAGAGGGCTCTGCATGCAGTGGGTGCTCAATAGATGTTTATTAAGAGAAGAAATACAAATGAATGGGGATTGCAATTGCTACTATTACTACTCAATAGCCAATAAGAGCAGCATGACACTTTGTAGCTCTGTAGGATCCTTCTCCAATAAACTTAGAGTATTTCATAAAATTCGAGATAACAAATGCATATACTAGTCCTATTTGATAACTGGGAAGGCTGGTGTTGAGCGAGGTTATGATTTGGCTACCAACAAACGTGGCTGAATAAAATTCAGTCTTCCTTGTTGGCATCTTGAAGCTTTATTGTTGAGGAGGAACCGAGATCTAAGAGGGAAGAAAATGTCATAACCAGCCACTGGGGCCAGCTGATTTATATCCATCTGCCAGTGACCTGAGACAAGAAAATTGGATTTGCTCTGTGGCTGCAGAATTTTTCAGGGGCAGATGCAAAGCCTGGGGCAAGGCCTCTAGAGTCCATATGGACTGCTGCATTTTTCATCAGGACCCTGGAAAGGAAGAAGGACTAGGAATTGAAGGTGGAATAAACAAATGAGAATAAGAAGGCACCTTTGGAGGGGCACATGCCAGGGCTGGACTCCATGGCGTTCATCTCTGTCTGGGCACAGCTCTAGAGCATCAGCGAGTGGATCTTGACAAGAGCACTTATCTTAAATATTTGCCAACAACTTCACACTCTTTAGAAGCTAAGAGGAAACATTTTAGGGAGGAGGCGATTACATCATGCTCGCTTTTGCTCTACTTCTAGCTCCCAGGGCTGCACCCTCTATTGTTACCCAGCATTCTGCAAACACCCACGTTTAGCTTTTTCGTCAAGCCAGTGAGATGGAATAAATGGATTCCTTTATGTCCAGATAGTACTGTGATCCTTAAATGGCCTCATTAAAGAACCAGCGTTTTTGAGAGTCATTGTGTTTAATGGGTCATTATGTAAAGACTGACTCTCCCCAAACCCTCCTGGAGGAGGCCATTTGCACCTTTGTCTTGAGCATTGGTGTCATCGGTACAGGCTCAGAGGAACTGACTGTGAATGAGCGACAGAGAAAAGAGGAGACTTTCCACCTCAGAGAGAAGGCAGGTCCCTACACAATGGCTTACAGATGACTTGGAACTTTTATCTTATTTATTAAAAGTAGCGAGAGTGTAAATTTCGATGATGATAATAACAGTAACCATCACACATAGCGCTTGACTTTTTCAAAGTCCTGAGGTATTACAGCATTCCCTGCCTTCTTTAACTCCAGGAAGAATCAGTCCCCTCTCTGTGTCCTTATAGAACTTATCTCTAGCTGAGATGAAGGAGAGAGAGCACTGAATTTAAATCAGAAGTCCTGAGTTGGAATCCTGATCTGTCACTTACTAGTTGTGGGGCCTTGAGCAAAATACTTTATTCTCTGAGCCTTGGTTTACTTATCTGTGAAGTAAAGATCATCATAAAATTTATCTCAAAGAATCGTTGTAAGGATTATACGAGATCTCAAGCAAGAAGTTAGTCTTTCAAAAAATACTTGATGAGAGAATTAATTATACTGTGTCATAATTAATTGGCCACATGCCTCAACTGGAATGTAACCTTCCCACCAGTGATGGAACTTACTCATCTTTGTGTCCCTGGCACCGAGCAAGTACCCTCCCATTGTAGGTGCTGAATAAATGTTATTGAATGAATGAATGAAGGAGCCATGTGACTCATGTCACTACTATGGCAGCCAGGCTGTCCAGTGTTGACAAGAGCTCCTCTGAGCTGGACAGAGCTGGACAGCCAGGTATCGTCGGAGTAACCAATTAAGACAACAAGCCAAAATGAAAGTAACAGTCAAGCTTTAATCACTTACCTCCATAGTACAAGCAAGAGGCTAGAGTGGGGAAAGCGCTGGTGCCTCCTATTCCGTTTTCCCCTTGAACAGCACCAAGCGAAGGTCAGATGTCTCAGTGCACATAGGGGGAGTTGTCTCACTACCGAGGGAGCCCTGAGCAAAAGGATCCTGCCATTTCACGGACCCAGGGCCGGGATAGGGGTTGGGGAGCAGAGGGGAGGGGGACTTGAGGTGGAAAAGTACAAAATACGAAGTCAACGTAGAGAAAGTGTCTACAAGGTTCCTCCTCCCCTCTTCCATAATGAGATCTGGGCAGAGTGTCCTGAGGAAGGCCTCTGCTAAAGCCTCCCCAATGAAAAGGCCTCCAGGTGGAGACGCCTGGGCTGGGCATGCAGATCATGTAAGAGCAAGGCTGGCGGGGGCCTGAGTCCTGCCTGCAACTCCCTTCAGAGACTGCAACACACTAGCTGTACACCAAGTCTGGGGTGGGGAGTGTAACAGCTAGATCTTAAGTTAGCACGTGGGAAGCCATCTTAGGGAAAGGAAGCACTATCGTAACTATGATCCTGACTCACTAGTGTCTGTGAACACATTCTAGCCTGCGCGTAGCCTAGATGATTAAGCACCTCTCGCTTTTGCAAAATACATGATCTGCTAGCTCTGTGACTCTTGCTTACATATATCTCCCAGTTATGAGAAGACGATAACTTTATTCTGAGTCCCCCAGGAGCAAGATGACCTCCAGAAAGAAAAACTCTGCGTTGGTACCCATCACAAATGACAGAAGAAAGAGATATAGGCACCTTGAAGTTCGTTACACCGGACGGTGGACATCCCTAAACCCCTTCCTTCCCTGCCCGTTTACTCTATATAACTACCTCAAGACTCTGTATGACTTGAAGATGGTTCTTTAGGACACTAGTCCACCATCTTCCGATTGTACGATACTTTTATATGATAGCTAATCGTATAAACTTTCCTTTCTCAACCACAGACTCGTTTGCAATTGATTGACACTGGATTGCGGTGAGCAGAACAAGCCTCTTTTTGCTTGGTTACAGGAGGACAGCTTTCCGCCATGCTGCGTGGCCGGGAAAGCCTTTGTAATCGCCTGTGGTCAGTCCTGAAAATCACACATGGGTGTTTGGCCAAGGCTCTTCGTCCAGTATGTTACATCTGACAGGACAAGTAGCTGGAGACCCAGAGACTTTAAATGACTTGTCCAAGTTCACTTGGCTTGGTAGATGCAGAGCTGGATCAGAACACCCTGCTTATCTCACGCTGGACCAGAAGTGGATATGTGAACACTTGTGCTCCCTCATATTACAGGAGTTGCTCTTCTGCTTTGGGAGGTTGTACAGCCCTGGCCAGAATGAGTTGTCAACTTCCACAGCCTGTCGTGGGAGGCAGAATTTTGACCCCATGACCTTTGCCCTTTGGTGTCATGCCTGTGAATATACTACATTTCATAGCAAATGGGACTTTGCAGATGAAATTAAGGTTATTAGCCAGTTGACCTTAAAATAAGGAGATTATCCTGGATTATCTGGGTGGGCCCAATGTAATCCCACACGTTTTTAGCATAAGAAGAAAGCAGAAATGAGAAATGTGGCAAAAGGGGACATCAGGGAGATTTGAAGCATGAGAAGAATTTGATGCACTGCTGCCGGCTTTGAAGATGAAAAGGGCGATGAGCCAATGAAGTGGGTGGTCTCCAGAAGCTGGGAATGACCCCCGGCTGACAGCCAGCAAAGACAGGGGGATGTTAGCCCTACAACCGCTTAATGAGAAACTAAATCCTACCAACAACCTGAATGAGCCTGGAAGCAAATTCTCCCCAAGAGCATCCAGATAAGAGCCTAGGCTGGCTGACCCCTTGATTTCAGCCTTGTGAGACCTTAAGCAGAGTACCTGGTTAAGCCCACCTCAACCTGTGACCTAGAGAAACTGTAAGATAATAAATGGGTGCTGTTTTAAGCCACTTAGTTTGTGGTAATTTGTTACAGCAGCAGTAGAAAACAAATCCACGGGTTCAAAAGCACAGCGTGAAGACCCATCCTGCCCACTCTTCCTCATCACCCCATCACTGCTGCTCTCAGACCTGGTAACGACTCCCTTAGTCATCAGTCCTGTGTGGTACTCTGTGGAAACTGCTGCTGCTAAGCCCAGACCAGACATTCCTGACTGCAGCTCAAAGTTCATTTTAAACCTGTGGGTTAGGAAGGCATTGGGACTATTTCTCTGATGTCAGTGTAGAGGAGGGAAGAATTCCCTCCCTTTCCCCTTAAATTCAAATTTAACAGGGTATCCTGTATTTTACCTGTGACATACCCAATGGACAGCTTTCAGGTCAAGGAATCAGGATTGTGAGGTAAAATATAGGATACTCTGTTAAATTTGAATTTCACGTTAAAAAAACAAATAATTTTTTAGTATGTCTCAAGTATTGCACAGGACCCACTTATACTAAAATATACAGAGAGAGATATGTACTTTAAAGTCTGGTAACCCTACAAGGAGCAGACATTAAAAATTAGAATTTTCTAGAGGAAGTAAAACTGACCAGAAAGTAGTAAGTGGTGACCTAAATTTGATCTGGCCTCCCTTTTCTGGGACCAGTGCCCTATTGTTTCTGCCACAACCAAATCTGTATCAGGAAAGGATCTTATGTCAGAGGCATGCACACCAGTGGGAATTTTTATCAGCAAGGGATGCCTGCATCTTTAAAACTGTATTCTAATGTGGAATGAAAGAGGTTGCCTCCTGTTAAAAGCAAGGTTGGATTTCACTGAGCAGGTGGGTGATATGTCCTTAGTTTGAGTTCCTTCCCCAGGCAGGAGGAAGGGGTAAGACGTGGGTTTTTAGGATCAGACAGATCTGTCTTCAGATCCCGGCTTTACTGCTCCCTGCTTTGTAATTTGGGGTAAATTCATATTTCCCAGCACATTCATTCTCACCTATACTACATTTACCTTCAGGGTTATTGTGAGGATCGAATGAGTCTATACATGTAAAGTATCTTGCACATAATAGATGCTCAGTAAATACTTATTTTTCTTTTCTTGAGCTCAGACCAAATAGCCATATGCTGCTTCTGTGTATCAGCAAAGACAACCGTGTCTGTCTAAGGCCATCTTTAGGCATTTAAACACTAGCCTGTAGGGCTAAAGAAGGAAAGACTGCATGCAGAATTACACAAAAGGAGTAGTTGTGCCCTAATAATACATCCATGCAAACCATTTATTGGACACTTACTATAGTAATGGTGGAACACACTCATAAAGGACATGTTATACGTTAAGGATGGTTCTAGATGATTTACACAAATTAACTCATTGAGCACCCACAACAGCCTATGAGGAGACACTTATTATCATTCCCATCCCGTTTTGAATGAGGAAATGGAGGCACAGAAAGGTCAAATAAATTATTCTAGTTCACCTGGCTAGTAAATTGTAGTAATAGATTCTTCCCCACCGTTAACTACCTCGCTCCACTGCATTCTGTGTGTAGGTCTCTGACTTCTGCCCCTTATCTCATTTAATCCTCACAATAAACCCATGAAGTAGGGATTTCTGTAATCTTTCCCATTTTACAGTTTTCCTAGCAGCTAGTAAATGGCAGAGCCCATCTCTGAGAACAAACAATAAGATGGTTTAGGTATTCAAAAGATTTTGAATCTTAACATTGCTATATTTGATACCGTTAAGTTGTGGAAGTTTCATCCTAGGTAGGGTGAACCTCACAGGACTGACACAAGTTTGGCACTCTTATGTCAGGACATTGTCTGTTCAAGAGTGTTCCCCTGGGGTCTCAGAGAAGCTCCCTCCAATCCCTTGGGAAGAGCTGCCCTTCTGGTCTGTCTCTGAATTCTTCTTCTCAGCATGCAGGGTGATCACCCACGAAATAGGATCCCAGTGGGGAGGTTTTTTCCAACTCCTCTGATGCAGCACTCTCTGTGTTTTTTGGTGACAAATGAATCAGGTTTCCATTAAAAACACTGATGCCAAAAGGGAGAAAAAAATAAAAGCTCTGGGATTGCTTTGGAGGGCGAGTCTTTGTCTTAATTCTGGAGCCCAGAATGGAAAGTTGGCAGCTCAGCCTGAAAGATGAGAGTGTATTGGGCAGCTGCATGGCCAGGATATAAAAACCACAAAACAAAGAGTGACTTGCTTAATCTGAGCTGTGAATGGGTGGGTGGTTGGGGGAGTGGCAAGAGGCAAACATCACACTTGAATCCAGGTCTCAGCCTCACAGGGTGGGAATCATGTTGCCTAATCATGACGTCACTTAAGCCATTCCCACGCCTTTGGCCCAGTTTTCAAATTACTTAGCAATGGACACTGAAGCCAAATTTGAAATAAATTACTCGATGACTCAGACTGTTAATCTCTGTTTTGATAACCAACAGCAAGTCATTGGAACTTTAGCTTATATTTGGTATGAAAATATCATAATGTACTGCAAAGGTCTCCTTAATTTACCCCCTGCCTCAAGAAAATGCCAGTTGTGTACAGGCAAAAAAGCAGATTCGCTTGCCTTTGGGGGAACTAGCTAGAAGTCTTCTTAAGCAGAAGACTTTGGAGAAGTTAATACAGCCTCTGGAGTCAGACCCATGTTTGAATACCGGCTCTATACCCCGGTGACCTCCTCTGTAAGTGGCAATAATAATGTTACCCACTTCATAAGGTGGTTGTGGTGATCTAACGAGATGAAAAGTTCTAGCATGGTGCTCTGCAGGTATACAACATATGCAGGCAATTGTTATTTATGCTTGTATTTGTAAACACACAGTTCAGAGCAAAAAAGACAAAAATGAAGAAGACCTCGTTGATCCTGCTGGTTATTATTTCATATAGATGTGAAACCTGTTAACGACGAAACCTTGCACACCTGGGAGATTCCAGGAAGCATGTAGAACTCTTCTACCCAGTCATTTAACAGGAGTGTTGCTGGGTAGAAATAGCACATCTGGCCTCCTTACAGAGGACAATGAGATCTCCGGTGCAGGAGTATTTTCTTTTTCTGATACAATTTACTGTGAGATGCAAGAATAAACTTGAATTAACACAAAATGGCCTTCAAAATGATTCCTTCAATGACAAAAGGCTTGCATTACACCATACCCTCCCATTCAGTTTCTTCCTTTTGTTGTTTATTTTTCTGTCTGTTTATCTATCTGATTTCTGAGTTGGTTTTCTCCTTCACCTTTGTGTTATCCAAAAATTGGTCCATGAAGGGAAAACAGTCTTTTCCTATGGCTTTCACTTTGTTTTCCTTCTAACTAGAAATTAAATCATTCATATTTACCATCTGCCTACAACATATTAAGGTTTCTGAATTCAAAAGGGGAGTTTGAATTTTCACAAAAGTTTTTCCAACTTCCGAGAAACTCTTTTGACTCATCTCAAATACACCCCTGAAAGCTGGATCGATTCACCTGCAGGGCCTGAAGTGGTTTTGACCAGGAGCCATGATTTGCCAGCCCTGCTGCTTCCTCTCTCACTTCTGATATTTACCCTCTACCTCTTTTATGCACTGTTTTATGTTTTTTGTGTTCTTCCTCTCCTTTTAAAATCTTACCCTTCTCTCGCTTCTGTAATCCCTGTAGGGCATCTGGATGCTCTGTAGTAGAAACCTAACGTATTTGCAGCCTAGCATCCCTTCCTTCTTCTGTTAACAGCATTTCCGGTCCAACTTCATTTGGTGGGTGGGGAGAGGGAGAGGAGGGCTGTCAGTCACAACACCCCACCTCCTGGCCCCGGTGATTGGCCCGGCGATGGGCATGTGACCAAGCAGGCAAATCAGTGTCCTTTCCTGGGGTGTTACATTTAGATACTAGAAGAGAGAGAGAGACTCCCTTATTCCTTGGATCTTGAGCTCTGAGACTGTTACTCCATAGTCATGTTCCTTGGAGGAGGCCTACTAGCCTAGGAGGCCTAGTAGCCAAGCCTACTAGGATAAAATGAGACCAATTCACAGAGAGAAGCAAAAACTAAGAGACAGAGATATGTGAGCTAATAAATTTCTGGTTTGCTTAAACTGGTTGGTTTCAGGTTTCTGTCACTTGCAACCAAAAAAGTCCTGATTAAGATATAACCTTCTCAGGGGCCGGCCTGGTGGCGTAGCATGCTGCACTCCAGTGGCCCAGGGTCCATGAGTTTGGATCCCGGGCACAGACCTATGCATCACTTGTCAGGCCATACTGTGGCAGGTGTTCCACATATAAAGCAGAGGAAGATGGGCACGGATGTCAGCCCAGGGCCAGTCTTCCTCAGCAAAACGAGGAGGATTGGCAACAGATGTTAGCTCAGGGCTAATCTTCCTCACACACACACACAAAAAGATATAACCTTCTCATTTTTAAGAACATCTGTGACCTCCCATTCATCTGTTATCATATTATACTATATTCACTTTAAAAAAAAACTTTGTATTTTGAAATAATTATAAATTCACAGGAAGTTCAAAGATAGTACAGAAAGTCTGTGTGCCCTTCACCCAGTTTCCCTGAATGGTTACATCTTCCAAAGCTATAGTACAATATCAAAACAGGACATTTACATTGGTACAATGTGTGTGCATGTAGTCCTATGTCATTTTACCACACGTGTGGATTCATATAATCATCACGCCATCAGGATAGAGAACTATTCCATTACTATAAAAGTCTCTCTTGTGCTACCCCTTTTAGTACATAACTTATCAGAGTCTACTGGTGTCAAGATTTTACCAATTTGAGTGAAGTGTGCAAAGCTTACCTCCCTTTACTCTCCCCATTGTAGGATAATTGTCTTAAATATTTCCTCTATATACATTGAGAACAACATCAGACAAAGAAGGGTTTTTCACAAATTAACAAGCTAGAATTCAAGCCACAGGCTGTGCGCATTTAGGGGTTAATATTTTTATACAGACCTTTCCAGATGCCTATGCTAAATTTTATTGCTTTGACTTTTAGACATTTTCAATCATCCGATTCAAACTTACCCCTGGATCTGGCCAAAGGGGTTACACCCTAAGTCTCATCTAAATATTAATATAACGTATGCCAGTTTTTTGGGAGAAAAAATCTCTTTCCTAATGTCCAAAGACATCCACAAAGCTCAATAGACTGAGAGCTCCAGAGACCATGCTTTTTCGTCTTTGTATCTCCAGCTTCCAGCGCAGTAGAAGATGCGTGGAAGATAAAGAGATTCTTACCCGGTAGTTTTAATTTTCTCTGTGAAGTAAGAGGCAAGGTCATTTACTGAGAGAGAAGTCATACGGGATTGGCACCTTGAAAGAGAGGTGATAGCTTGGAACACCCAACTTTTAAAATAGCTTAGTATGTGTGGGGTTGGGGAAATGAAGGAGAAAGGAGGGTCTGGGGCCATGTACAGATTTTTGACTTGAATGATTGGATGGTAGGTCATTTTTCCAAAATAGTGAATATGGGAGGAGGAACAAGCTCTTAGAGAGAGACAGTGAGTTCAGCTGGAGACATGTTGATTTTGAGGAGTGTGCTAGGACCCCCAGGGAAGCTGTCTGGTGGACAATTGTGTACACTAGGCTGGTGCCATCATCTGGAGGCACATAGTCGGAACTGCAAGCTGTGTGTGCCTTTGAAATGACTCAGGAGAATGTGTTATATGAGAACAGAAGATGAAGGATGGAACTCTGGGCAACACTAACATTTAAGAGGCAGGTGTATGAAGAGAAACCTTAGAGACTGAGAAGCGGTGGCCTGATAAAAAGGATCAGAACCAGGAATGTCACAGAATCCAGGGCGAATAGAATTCAGGGAGATAATAGATAATGACATTAAACGCTGCAGAGAAGAGAAAGAAGATGTGGACAGCAAAGGGAATACTGAATTTGCAACTTGAATGTCAGGGATGTGACAGAGTCAGAAGGCAGATTGCAATGGATGGAGAAGAAAAAGGAAGAGAAGTGGACACCTGAAGGAAGACTACTCTTTGAAGAGGTTTATCCTTGAAAGAAGAAAAGTGATTGAGTGATGTGTAGGAACAAAGGAGGGATATAAAAATAAATTTATTTCTCATTACTAAACCTATATTCTTAGCATAAAAATTTAGAATATGCAGATAAGCCTGAAAGTATAAATTATTTTATATAACCCCCTCTCTGCTAGATAATCACTGTTAACATTTGTACACAATATATTTACAGTCTTTTTAAAATCAGAAATATACTTTTTAAATGGTATCATAGTTTTCCTATCATTTTATAGACTACTTTTGTATTTCTGTATATTATGAATAATTTTCCATGTCCTATTTTTTCTACAACATCATCTTTAATGGCAGCAGGTAGTGTTCCATTATATATCTATATCACATTTTATTTAAATAATCTCCCCTATTATGGGACATTATGGCTTTATAATTTTTCAATATGATTAACTGCACTAAAGTGACTCTCTTTGTGACTATGTCTTTGAGCACATGCATGATAAATTCTAGAAGTGGAATTACTGAATCAAAATTTATGCAAAAGTCTAAGGTTTTTGAAATGTATTGCAAATGCTTGTTGAATTTATTATTATTATTATTGTTATTTTTATTTTAACCAACTTACATGGCCATCAGCAGTTTATGAGAATAAAGAAAGTATTTCTGCTAAGAAGAGAGTGATCTGAGCATTTCTTTCATGCCAAATGGAAGAGGCCAGTGTAGAGGGACACTTATAGACAAAGTGAATTTACAGATGAAGGCTGGTGACAGCCTTGAGGAGATGGGAAGAGATGGGATCCAGAACACATTAATACAGAGGAGGAGGAATACTTCTTTTGAGATGAAAAGGAAGGAGAAAAATAAGTGTTCAGAGAAGTAGCACCTGCTCGTACCGGAGGCAGTACATTGAGGAAGAGCTCCCCTGACACTCTCAGTTTTCTCTGTGGAACAAAAGGCAAACTCAGTTGTTGAGAGAGAAGACAAGGGTGGAGTTTGACTTTGAAGAAGATGGAAAAGATTTTCAATATCCAATGAGCAATGCAGGGGAAGAAGCTGCCCAACATACATAAAAGGATTGCCAGAATGTTCTATGGGCACATTCAAGGTTGGAGATCATAATTATATAGTGTTGCCAATCCACAGAGTTGGAACTTCAACCTGGAACTACCCCACAGCTGAGTTCTTCCCGTCATTCAGATCTTTCTCAAATATCGCATTCTCAGAGAGACTTTCTCCAATCGTTTTGTCTAAGGAAGCACCCTTTCTGAGCTTCTAGTCACACTATTCCATTATCAAAGTACTTATCACCATCCGAAAATATCTTGTTTATTTATTTACATGCTGTTTTACTTATTTATTTTGTTTGTCCCCCACTAGAGTGTCAGCGCCATGAGCAGATACCTGTGTATCTTATTCATCACTGTATTCTTGACACATAGAACAATGCCTGGTACATTATGGACTCTTCAAAAAAGTATTGTTGTGTGACTGAATAAGTGGGTTAATAGTTAAGAACATGAAAGAATTTGTTTATGAGCTAGTAGGATTTCCAGAAGAAACAAGGGAAAGGCAAGGATCATTGGGGAGGAAATCCAGAGCAGAGTGGGATGGGAGTGTGTGAGCAGAGAAAGGAGGTGTGGGATTGCATCTAAGGTGATGGCCAAGGATGGAGTGGTGAAGGACATGGTTAGATTGACTGGCCTCATGATTCTGGGGCAGTGGAGGTTGGGACGCCAGTGGTGCTAGAGGCCTAGACACATGAGGAAAGAGCCACCTGATGCTTAGATGAGGAGGGACGGAGAAGGGGATTTCGATACTGGGACGAGTGGTTGATGGGATGGGTCCTGTGATTCACCTTAAAAATGCCACACAAGGGCTTTCTCTTTTTGCACATGCCCTGGGCAGAAATGTCTATCCTATGTGAAAGAGCGATGAAGCTGCTCTAAGAATTCCTTTTAATACCATCAAGAAGAGTCCACTTGAGAGCCAGTGACAGTGCAACAGAAAGTTTTGAGCTGGCTGAGTGAGGGCACAGCTGCCCCTGTGTAAATCCATTAATGTGCACAAGAACTTTTGTAACTGTGAGAGGAAGGAGGAGTTTTGCATAAGTCCAGGGGATGGTAGAAAGTGGAGGAGGAAGGAGAGACAGGCATTACAGTCCTTCCCTTTTTGACTCCTTGGACTGTTCTCAGAGGGTTAGAAATGGAAGGAATTGTTTCTTGTGAGATTTGGGGCAAAGGGCAATGGCCAAAAGATGATGAAGTTGGACATAAGGACTTTAGAAGATCCTAGGCAGAAGCAGAGCTGTTTTCAAACTCAAGACAAAAAGGGTAGCTAAAGATGTCAAGCTCTCCAGGCTTGGTGATGGGGCCGGGGGAGTGTGGTGGATCTTCCCACCCAACTAGCTCAGTTCCCCATTTGCCTCACCCCAACAGTTTTGTTGTTGCTTCCACCTGGAGCCCTCTTTGCTGCTCCTCTGCTGTTGCCCCTTGCCAACCTGTAATGGTGCTGTCAACAATATTTTTTTGAGCAACCTGTAACGGTGCTCTCAAGCATTGGACAGGCGTGACCCCAAAGTGTAGCTAACTCCAAGCTGTCATGATAACACAACTTCACTGAAGGCTTGAGACTAAAAGGGATTACAATGCAGAAAACACCACCTCAAAATTCAGTATCAGATATCACTGCTCCTAGAGCCTATTAGCTGTGTTTTCTCACAGGAAGCCTCCAGCTGGCCGCTTCTTTCCTTAGCCCCCAGCCTCCCGGAGTCCACAGCATCACTCCTCCCAGAGTGTAAGCCCCTGCTACAGCCCTGGATCCCACCCTCCATCCCTCCAGCGTACCTCCTTTCCCACTGCAGGACAATTAAAGGTGAGAAATAATCCACCCTCACCACAGGCTGTCAGGTGGCTCTGTGTGGCCCAGGTGGGGCAAACAGAAGACCTGATAATATATTTCTGCCATTCTGAGTTATTAGTCTTAAGTGTCATGACGTGTGGGATTCCAGCAGTTCAGTGTAGCCAGCCCTGCCGTAAGTCCAGCCCAGTCTCTTTGCACGTTCTTTTTTTCCTCCAGTTGAGTTGAAGAGGAAAATATGCCTGGTAAGGTCTGGTCTTATGATTTTCTGAGAACAAATACTTGAGCAAAAATCACACACACACACACACTCACACACACCCCTTTCAAAAAAATTCCAATAATTTTCAGGCATGGTCCAATCAAAATGCATACTTTAC